GGTGGTGGGTAGATCGGGGTAGAGGCAAGCAGGGAGTGCTTGGGATCACCGCAGAGGCTGGTGGCTGGATATGGTAGAAGGTAGGGAGACATCTGGTGGCAAAATTGCCCAGTTTGTCGGCATCTCTCTTACTCTCAGCACGTGAGGGTAAAGGGGGGAGGGGGGATGGGGCAAGGATGGAGATGGCTTTAGCATTTTTTTATCGTCTTCATTATCGCGCTACGTATCGCCTTTATCCGCTGACCTCGTTACACGCCAACGTCGTGGTCCTACACGTAGCACAATTATTTTTAGGGGGAGGGATATGAGAAGTTATCTGCTTTGATACCAGTACAACAAAAACTATCTGAGTAACTCACCTCATACAGTACAAGAGAAGGAATTTTAGGAGGAAGAAGGTGGAAATAAAGATGAAGGAAGAAGATATATTTACACCGTCTTACTTACACCGAACAATACTTTACAAAGTTGAAAGTGGGTACAATGAGTTAGTGTAAAAATAAAAGTTACGGTATACCCGCAGTAGACTGATTAGACTAGATTCGAAAATGATACCAACGACATAACCGTGCAAAACGAATGTACGGCCTGAGATTAGGTTAACGTCGCTCAACGACCTAGTCGTACCAAGAAGTCATTGTAATGCCGAAAATTGAAAATAAAATTCTCGCTATCTTCTTAAGATAATTAAGATGTATTTTAGGAAAAACTTGCGTGTCACTTTTTTTTTTTTTTTCAATCATAATAGGAACTAGTTGTAACTCTTCTAGACACGTGCTTTCAATTTTTTTGTACTTCACCTATATATGGTGTGATAGACGTCTCGGTATTTTATGCCTATTTTTGACAAAATCCTCAAGAAAAAAAGGTAGTAGATCTACTATGGAGACTTCAAGGATAAAAAAGTTTAAATGTTTACTGAACGTAACTACAACGTGGCCTTGGTAAACTCTCTGTTCAGGCGGATCAATGCAGGTTGGTCCAGTGAGGAGCATACTAGCGATTATCCAAGTGGGTATCCTACTATCTATGGTCGAGTTGGTTTGAAGAGTGGGTTTAAAGGCAATGACTTAATGCCATTCTTGTGAGGGTTTGGACTGACGGTCAGTTGGAGCTGCAGGGTTGGTGTGAGTACAGTCCACCACTTTTCTCAGGGGTATCACTGAATATGGGCAATATGGTGAGTCATTATTTATCAATAAAATGCATCTTGGGCAGACTGCGGGGGGTTCAGCCTCCTCATAAGTCAGTAAGAGACTAAGGAAACAACTTGGAACAGTTGCGGAGTGAGTAAGGCGAACACGACAACATACAACACGACCTTGCTAAGCTCTTTATTTCGGCTAATCAATGCAGTGAGTATCCATGGTTGAGTGGGTGTGTAGAGTGGGTCGTATGACTATGACGGACTACTGAGACTAGTTTATCGGACTTATTGTTGTTCTCGTGAGGGGCTTGAACCGAGAGTCTTGCAATGTTGGATAACTTGGATTGAGTAAAGTTGACTACGTTTCTCAAGGATATCGCTAACTCTGGGTGACATACGTTCGTATCCATCAGTGAAATGCATCTTGGGGAGACTGTCAGGGTTCAACCTTCTGACAAGTCGGTGAAAGTCCCGTGAAACAACTTTGCACAACCGTGCTTTTGTTGTGGACTGGTTTGTAGCGAACATGACGACACACACATACAAATTACACAAAGAAAAGGTGTTGTCTCAGCCCGAATGGAATACCCCTTCAATATTTGTTTATCGGACACAAGTTTCAGGGGCTTGGATGAAGAGTTTGCTAGGATTGTAGAGTTGTTCAAGTAAAGTTGACCATGTTTCTTAAGGGTATCGCTAACTGTGGGTGACAGGGTGAGTCCGTATCCATTAGTCAAATGCATCTTGGGCAGATTGTCAGGGTTCAACCTTTTGACGAGCCGATGAAAGTCTGGTAAAACAGTTTGGCACAACTGTGCCTTTCTATGGAGTGTGTATAGCGAACATGACAACATATACACACATTCACGACACGTCTACAGAAAGTAAAAAGTATGCTATCTTGGCTGAATGGAACACCCCTTCATTATCCGTTTACCAGATAAAAATATAGAAGTGAAAATAGATACAAAAGAATATAGTTTTTTGCTACGTTGCCACTTGTACGCACCCTCGTATGAGTACGGACTCGTACTCTTGTACTCGTACGGACTCATACTCTTGTACTCGTACGCTAGTGGCCCCGTACGAGGTTTTTTTTTTTTTTTTTTTAATCCGGTTGTATTTTTATTTTTTTTCTCAAATT